CATCTATAGTGTAGAGGCTGTGCCATGGATGGTTCAATGTGGACCCAAACAGCCTGCCGTTTGGTATACGCACAGACCACTCCAGAGTTCTGCACTTAGGGCTTTAGATCTTAAATCACGATTGCTCCCGAAGCGAAGTTACTGAACCGGTGCATTATTCCGAGCCCAGGGAGCAAGAATCCGCACAATTTCGCTGCCAGAACTTTAATTGTTCAGATATCTTCTCCTGAAAAGATCAGCAACCACCAAAGTTGGTGCTCTCTAAATTTTGTGCGTTGCTGCCGACTCCCCGCAGCCCGTAGGCCACCCGCCCTGCAGCTGGCTGCAAGAGTCCACCAAGACTATCAAATTGCAACGTGGGCGGTGATGGTTTGTTTGAGGACAAGATTTTGAGCCCACGTGACGGATCTACATTGTGTGCTCCTCCCACCCATCCAAACGAAGGCGAAAACTACCGTCTTCACCCGAATATAATGCCCGGTCATTATCACTGTATCTAGAGTGGAAGCTGCACCAAATACAGTTATAATGACCGGGCATTCTATTCGGGTGAAGACGGTAGTTCAATTTTGCATGATGTGCACAGAAGATGAATGTAACACTCTGTCTCTCTGTCTCTCTGTTTGCGCGCGTGCATACTATATGAGAGGGATGTTCACAGCTTCCAGCGGCAAGAGCAATGGGGTGTTGATTGGATTGGGCGTCGGGACAATCTAGGTTGAACTGCTGGTAGTCTCCAGGCAGGCTTTGCTGATAGGGCTTACTGTGAATGACGATAGTACAGTCAAAAGCTAAGGGCTGTTTGGGTGCTTGTAGCATCGTACCCCTCCTTTGCCAGGTAAGGGTGGATCGGGACCTCGTGCACCCCCTCAGGCCCGTCCCCTTCCCCTTGCCCTCATAGGATAGGAAGTGTGTGAGCCAAAAAAAAAGGCTGGCATATGCATTGTCAATGAAAGAAAATCCAACAAGTTTCCTGCCAGTCTGGCTTTGTACACCCCCACCCTGTGCCTATTGGCTGTGAAATCCCCGCTACCGTCCCCTGGAAAGAGGCAGCCTCTTGTCATTGTAGCTGTACTCGAGCTGGGAAAATTATACGCTGGATATAGCTGTGGTGTGGGACAGAAGCCAGTGTTAGGCAAGCAGGAGGGGGGCATATGGAAGAAGCTAGAAGGACCAGGGGGCCAGAAAGCCTGTGTTATGCAGATGCATTATGCAGATGCATCATCAAAGTCATCTGTCGAGTTGCGGTTACCCTCGTTGTTATTACTATTTTTAGTATTTTAGTCATTCCTCCTTGCTATCCACTAGGCGGAAGGGGGAAGAATTGTGTGGGTGTATACCCCTATTTTTTCTTACCAGGGGGAAGGGGACTAATTGCACAGTGGTGTGTACCCAGACTGTCCTCCGACCTCGTACTGTCTATTAGGGGGAACAAATGGTGTGGGAGTTTGCAGGTGAGATGAGTACAGGGCAAAGAAGGGTGATAGGCTGGAGTGCCGATAGGGAGATGCAACTCCCCTTCTTTGTCAATCGTTTCCATTATCACAGACTGTTATACGGCCGAGGTCACCAGCTCGTTTCCGTCTGGCTGCGGAGCGGAGTTTGATCCTGGCTGGTTTTCCCAGTTGGACAGTATACGAGCGTAGTAACCAGGCCAGGGGATGATCACCTGGATGTTGGTCTCTGCATGGACCTACCTGCGGAGTATCTCTCATAGATGTCGCACGAACTACAGTGTAAGTCCTTGCTGCTGCAACTGTGCTGGGGTGGGCTGTATGTCATGAACTCCGGGTCACAGTTGCAGTGGTAAAGGCATCTGGCTTATACTGCCGAGGTCACCGGTTTGATTCCGTCCGGCTGCGACGTTTGATCCTGGCTGCTGTTTGCAGTTGGACAAGTGCGGCTTGCTCGGTACTTCAGAAAGTGCTCAGTGCATTCGGCAACCCAGTTTACCAGCTCTGTGAGTGTTTGAGACCTCAACTGCACTGCAGCGCTCTCGTTCAGAGTCTTACTGTTGGCTTGTGTTGGTGCTTTTGGTGCATTCACAGAAATCAGAGATTGAAAGAGCGAAGATGAGCAAACTCTCAATACGCCCGTGCACAGCTCTGTTGACGAGGCGAACCATCTAGACCGTCTCTTCTGTCAAGTTTTGGAACGATGACGCTTTTTTCTGCGCTGGAATCGGATGACTGGTTATCGATTGGTGAATTGGAATTGGAATTGGCTGGTGGCAGTGGTGGGTGCAAAGAGAAGTACTTAGACAAACCAATCTAAGGACAGGTATGACTCTTTCGCAACTTCTGCTGCTTTCCTTTTTTTTTTTTTTTTTTTTTTTTTTTT